CATATTTCTAAGGGTTGGATTTACCTGATACTACAGTTTGATAGTAAAAACATGAAAAAAAAATAATTATAAAAGTTTTGAACAAGTATTTGGAATAAGATAACACTGCTAGAATGAGCTGAAATCCTGATGACGTCACAATGCTACTGAAGTCAGGATGACATCATAAGTCTATAGATTGATTACAGGAAATCAAACTTGACGGCAAAAATTGCATGAAAGTTTTCCGAGGGGTGGATAGTATACAGTTATGGAATGGGTATGAGGGAAATAGCAAATTTATGGTTCCCCGAGGGAGGAAACTATTTCCCGAGGCGGCGAAGCTGCCGAGGGAAATAGTTTCCTGCCGAGGGGAACCATAAATTTGATATTTCCCGAGTACCCATTCCATAACTGTTTTATTATACCGAAACAAACAAAGGAGATTTATTAACTAGAGACAGACATTTTTAAAACAATATAGAGGCATTTATATAAATAATCAAAAATGCATGTGAATCCAATTTTGTTAAATATATAATGCATCAATACCGAAAAAAAAATTAATTTAAAAAACAATAATTTCACTGACATTTCGAAGGATTATCGTTGTCCTCTTTTTGCTTAGAAATTCCAGTATGATTTCGACATCGCATGTCGAAATGTTTTGACGTCATAGTTATTTTGCTAATAACATTACGTCACGGACTCGAGATTCCTTGAACGCTCCGCCCACTGTTCATTTTAATTGGTTAAAATTTATAATAAATATTCATGAAGGAGTAGTCCCAGGGAGTAGCTCTGATTTTTCAGGGAGTAGTTCTCAGATGGGGGAAAAAGTATCTTCTCGGGGAAATAGACAGTTTTATGGTATTAATTTTATATAGAGTAATAAGAGTAGAGGTATAATAACAAAAACTATACCCCGGGGTATAGCTTTGCTATGTGTGGAAATTTTGAGACTATAAAGATAGTTAGTTTACCTTCTTAACTTTATATAGGAAACATTTTAACAGAAGTATAATAAATATTATTAGTCCCCTACCAGTGAAACCGGAGGGGACTATAGGTTTCCTCCAAGTCTGTCCGTCCGTCTGTCAGTATGTCCCTCTGTCTGTCTGTCAGTCTGTCCCACTTGGTTTTCCGCACTTTTTCCCTAAACGCTTGCAGATATTGAGCTGATTTTTGGTATGTGAGTGTATCTTGATGAGTTACAGATCAAGTTCGCATTTCGTTCCGCTTCATTGATTTTTGATGGAATTAGGGGCTTTTCAATTTTTAGGGGTTTTCCGCACTTTTTTTCTAAACGCTTGCAGATATTGAGCTGATTTTTGGTATGTGACTTTACCTTGATTAGTTATAGATCAAATTTGCATTTCGCCCCGCTTCACTCTGATAGGTCCTAAATTGGCTTCCGTAGAAAAGAGATGAGTCAATATTTAAATACACGGTCATAAAATTGTCAAGGCCAATTTTGAAATTTTAGAGTACAGAAATTCACATGTGTCGGGCCTTATCAAATGTATATTCCTCATAGTTTTCATAAGTATGTAAAAAGCATTGGTCGACGGAATACAGTTTAAATTGTTTAACTATATAATCAGATAGAGCTTAACAGATCAAACCTCCTGCAAGGCTGTCAATAGAAAAAAAAATTATGTGTGCGTCTGATAAATCGGCTGATTACAGCATATAAAACACGAAAGATGGGGTTTAGGTTAAAGAGGCGAGAAGGATAACATCTCCCCGACGGAGTGGTTGCAAAAAATATGATAGGTAACACTAGCTGTTATTACCTTGGAAATCAGCCTCGAAGCGGGGGACCCCTTTTTGTTTATAATTTTTGTTTCTTTATTATACCGTATACGTCCAATTTTTAAACCTTAATAAAAGTACAAACCAAGTACACAGAATGCCTGAAGGGGCTGCTTCAGGCGCCTGTGATCTAATTAAGAAACAAAGTATCATTTTTAAACATCTATCGGGATATAAATACGGGTTGGTCACGAGATCAAATTCCATAAAGCCCGAAGGGCTTTATGGTAAATTTGATCTCGTACCAACCCGTATTTATATCCGATAGATGTTTAAAAATGATACATTATTACTTATATTTACATTTATGACTTATTCATATTTTATATTTTCCTGATTATAATCTTTAACGCGTGAAATGTTTTATTTTTCAAACTCAACGGCACGTATTTGATCCATTGTTTGAGCGTCGACCCTTTATGACGTCACTTTGAAATTACGTCGAACGTTTATGATAAGGGTGCAACGATAAACCGTTTGACGGTTTATCGCGGTATATTTTTCCACGGTTCAATTCACGATACGCTAAACTGATATCGCGGTTCGGTTCAATCGGTCCAGAATTATCCGAATCGTCCGTTTTGTTTAATTTTTTACAATTTCAAAATGGCTTCCGCACAAAACGTGAAGTCGCCGATAACGCTTTAACGGAAGTTAAACTCATCTCCAGCATCTTACAGACCTCAGATTTAACACGGAGAAGGGCTTAATGTGATTATAAGTTATAGTTGTTAAGACAAATGATAAACCCTTTAGATTTAAACGTATTCTTTGGTAATACACGATATTTCATCACATGTTTATTTCGATGAAAATTCACTGTCTTGTTGACTAAAACGTGTTAACACGAGAAATATGACAACTGGTTTTCTACGTAAATAAAAGAATGAATGTCTTCCCTTTTCATTCCAATTTAAAAGGAAGATTATTAGGAAAGGTTCCCGTAGTTCCCTGTAAATGTTCATCATTGGTTTAGAATATTGTCAAAACTCAAAGATCTATCCAACAATTCAATTCAAGTTAACAAAATTTTATTTTAATTATTATTTAAAAATATGAACATTTTATAAAACCCTGTCAAGTTTAAAAAAAATATGATGACAAACTTGAAAGACTTTTTAACCTTGTCATGTATCGTGATACGTATCGTATCGTGAACTGAATACCGTGATACGTATCGTATCGTGAGGTTAGTGTATCGTTGCACCCCTAGTTTATGACGCGAGGAACCTGTGTTTATACGGATATAGATACGCGTTGCTTTCAATAGTGTTATATAAGGGAAAACATTTGCAAATGTAAATATTGAAGTATAACAGCTGTATAAAGAGTAAGAGTATTAAAGGAGATTTTTTTTCTATAAGTGTAGACCTTATTCTTAAAGAAAATATATTAAATCTAAAATAGACGTGATGTAAAATGTCCATCATTATTCATACATATCTGTCATAGAATTTAAAATCATATATTCGTCATCAGCATAAAATGTTAAAATAAAATAAAACCGATTGCCTAACCTTTAAAGAAGTTATTCAGGCGCACGCTACATGTATATAGATCCACGGTTTATCTGGTGGTCGCCAGAAACTTTTAAATTATATATTTGTAGCGGCCTCCACAAATTATGTGTGGCCATCAGAAACTAATTTGGCGACTGTCAGATAAAATGTTTTTCACCTGGTACTTACTGGCTTCCATAGAGAAATTAAAGGAAGTTCTGTAAAATTTGTTGCCTTTATCCATGCCACAAAGGCATATGGTTTAATGTCACTAAAATCCTAGAATATAAGTAGGCATCTTATAATAGCACACCTGTCAACAATGCAAAAAAAAATTCTGGGGGCGAATACAAAAATGTTGTAGCATATTTCACCGTAAAATAAAAATACCCCCCCCCCCCCCCCATAAATTGATCCTTACAATTATTATATTTCGTATAATTGAATAAAAAAGAAAGTTATTAATTAAAATGAGGCAGAACATTTTCTCGAACAATTTTAGTCATCATTTAACATGATATATGCTATTAACTTTTCAGTTTGTAAGCATAAATTAAGCGTTTTAAAAGTTAATATAAAAGAGTACTGATGCAAATTCTCTGCAAGTTTGGTAAAGATAAGACTTGAAGTTACACTGGATTGAGCTTGTTCTGAAGCCTTAACCTGGTCACTCATCCGAAAAATGTAGGTCAGATCCAGCATGATCCGAAGCAACTGTGGTAATGTTCATCCCTTGCATTGATGCATCATCCACGTAAGTTTGGTTCAAGTAGGCCTTACAGTTTCTTGGCACGGGACCTGCTCCAAAATCTTTAACTTGGTCACTCATCCTGAAAATGTACGTCAAATCCAGCATCTGAAAATAAGTCTGGTTAGATTTAAGTATTTCTGCTCGTCGAAGAGCGAAAAGTCATATGTTGGGTAGATTTTTCCCAGTTGGTCTATGCATCTATATAATAAGCTTCTTTAATTTGTCTTGTCCCTTACTTCTGTATTTATACGACTGATAATTATTTTCTTGAAAATATGCGTAGATGTGAACTTCTGTGATTTCAAGATTCTATGCATGACCATATTGATGCTGAGTGAGACAACTAAAGGTTTGTATTTTTTATCATCTGCTCACTCCTTTTGAAATCAAATTGAATGAGAAAGGGTGTGTGTGGGTGGGACACGTTTCTTTAAATGATATACATAAAATGAGAGAACTAACCTTTATGTCTTATTAAGAAGAGTATCTGCTTCTTAATTCAAAATATATGTGGCACCTTTACATCCATAAAAACAGGTACCTTTTGATGCTTATTGCCATCAAAACTCAAGATTGCAAGTGAGAAATCACAAAAAAAATGTAGCACAGTTTGCCTTCTTTTTTAAAACGAGAGACAGACACATACATACGGTATATATGATCAACCCACAACCTCTACTGTTAGGGTCAATGTCATGTAAAGTAAACTGCCGAGGTTAGTAGGAAAACTCAATTTTATTACAATGCAGTGTTCCAATCACATTCATACAATTATTCAAATTCTCAAAGCCACAACTGCAAATAGAGGAGGGATGATTCAGTCGAATGAACGCCCTAAGTGGCACCTATATGTATTTTTCTTTCGTTGAACATATAAAAGAATGCAGGAACATTTCATTTGAAATTTTTAATATATGACCCGAAAATACTGTTAAGTAACAACATTTGTAGTGATTTATTGAGGTATGTATAAATATATATAATTATATTCTATGCAGAAATTTTGAATTATGAAATAACTGCAGCGTTCCAGGAAAAGAACCCCAAATCTTCAATTTCTTTCCTGAACTGCTTTGCTTCGTTGTCTGTCATAGCTCTCATTGGTTCGCGTGGAGGTCCCAAATCAAGCCCTACAAGTGGCATGAAAGATTTCAAAGCTGCTACATTTCCTCCCAACAAAGAACCTGGATAAAGATAGAAAAGACCAGTGTAGTAAAGAGGTATTTCAGATAATATTAAGTACAGTAGTTTTTAACGTATTCTAAAATTTCGTTAATATCATATAATTTTTCTTTCGTGTACTTTTTATTGATATTATAATACTTTATTGGCTTGATTTGGGGTCCTAAATTACTTATGAATAAATAGCTTGAGATATGATTTTACCATATTTGTACATGACCCTACAGAGCCGCTGAGCACGCATTTGTTCCTCCCGTGCTTTTTGTAGTTCACCATTTTTGATATATTCTATCATTCTTTGAAACACCAGTGGCATGAAGTTGTGAGTACTACCGACGGCCCCATGAGCTCCCGTCACCAATCCCGCCAAAAGTTGCTGGATAAATGAAAATGAGGTTATTTCACATAAATATGAAATGTGATGGAATATGGCCTCATACATAGCATAATGAAATAAAATAAAAGGGTCAATTGAAAATGTTTTATTACCAGTGTTACTTATTAAGCTTATTACACTCTATTCGTGCCGACTTCTATAATTACTCTCATAGAAGAAAAGTATTCTTAAAGTGGGATATATTATAAAAAAAAAATCATGCATGTATCAAAACAACGTAATGCAAAACAAGCTAATTCAGAGAATTTGGTTCCCCCGATTAAGGAAAAAAGAAGAGCACGCGCAGATATAAGGAGGGAGGGAGGATCGGACCCCCCCCCCCCCCGAGCAGAATTATTAAATGTGTACATGTATACTGAAGCAAATAAAAATGTCAATATGGATATATACATGTAGATTTGATTGTTTATTCTTTAATATGTGTATAGAACATTCTTTTTATGTCGCATATTTATCACACTATAAAAAAGATTTTATGAGAAGTTTGTACACACCAGACGTCATAACTTCTTCATATCACATGTTGAATATTATCATTTAGTAAATAAAAAAAAAACGTTTCAAGAAAAAAATACGGGACCGTCCAGGATTTGAACCCCGGACCTCTCATATGATAAACAAGAATCATACCCCTAGACGAACGAGGCGCTTGCTTGTGATGAAGATTATATAGGTCACATATAATATTTATATTGTCAAAGTTTTACACAACACATGGTGTCTAATTTAGCCTTTACTAAACAGTTCTATTAGATGTAATTAGAATATAAAATCCGCCGACAACTTATTATATGTATTAACTCTCCACATGCTCCTGTGCTAAAAATAGTGCCACGCGACTTTTAATACAAAAAAAAAAACGGAAAGGGAGACTTTCAAAGGGGCGAGAGAGGCCATTAGGGAGTTATAAAATTTCATTGCAAAAGATTTTTGAGATATCGTCTGGAAAGAAAAGTGTTACACACAGACAGAATGTATGAATGTACGACCTTGATCTTTGGACCTCAAAATCAAAAGGGGTCTTCCTTAGGCCACAGGATGTTGTCATGTAAAATTTCATTGCAAAAGCTCAAAGGCTTCTCGAGATATCGCGCAGAAACGAAAGTGTTAGAACAGACAGAATTTATGAATTTATGACTTTCACCTTTGACCTTTTGACCTCTAAATCAATATGGTTCTTCTTAAGGCCATACGGAGTTTTTATGTAAAATTTCATTGCGAAAGCTCAGTCTTCTCGAGATATCAGACAGACAGAAATACAGACGGACGGACGGACAGACAGACCGAAATCAATATCCCCCACTTTCAGTGAAAGCAGGGGACAAAAAATGTAATATTTGTTAGAATGCTGTTGACGAAAGTCAACTTGATACACATGCACGTGTAATATATGAAAATAAAATGCAACACTGCTTGTTAAAACGTAAGCGCTTTAATTGTCTTCTCAAACAATTCAAACTTAGATATAGGTTTAAACTGTTCAAAATGATTTTAAAAAAGAAACAATGAAAGTGCTTTCCTTTTAACAAGAAGTGTTTTTTTTATGCCCCTGGATCGAAAGATCCCGGGGGTATATTGTTTCTGTCCTGTCTGTCTGTCTGTCTGTCTGTCTGTTGTCAACTTTAACCTTGCCCATAACTTTTGATTGGTTGGAGCTATGACTTTCATATTTCACATGTGTATTCCTTGTGACAAGACTTCTCGTAGGGTACCATCATTTCTGACCTTGGAGTTTGACCCACTTTTGCACAATTTTATGTGACTTTAACCTTGGCCATAATTTCTGAACAATTGGTGCTTGGGGTTTCAAACTTCACATGTGTATTCTTTGTGACAAGACCTTCCTCTGGATACCAACAACTTTGACCTTGACCTTGGAGTTTGACCTACTTTTGAAAAACTTTAACCTTGACCATAATTTTTGAACAGTTGGTGCTTGGGGTTTCAAACTTCACAAGTGTATTCCTTGTGACAAGACCTTCCTCTGGATATAAACTTCTTTGACCCTTTGACCTCGATCTAGGAGTTTGACCTACTTTAGAAAAACTTTAACCTTGGCCATAACTTTTGAATGGTTGGAGCTAGGGCTTTCATACTTCACATATGTAATCCGTGTGACAAGACCTTTTTTTGGATACCAACCACTTTGACCTTTTGACCTTGACCTAGGAGTTGGAAATACTTTTGAAAAAACTTTAACCTTGGCCATAACTTTTGAATGGTTGATGCTAGGGCTTTCATACTTCACATAGGGTAAATTCACCATGCATCGGACACCCTCGCACTTCAACAAGATCTAGCGACATCGCTACCCACCGAATATTATCAAAATGGAGCTTAACATGTAGTACGTGGTTGAAATATAAATTTTTGATACAATCGTGTGTTATTTATTGAGAAAATATCACTAAAAAACGATTTTTACGAAATAAGTCAAAATTCACCATGATTCGGACAATATTTACCTTGCATCGGACATACGGTATTTGAACCGAAAAAATATCATACCTTGATCTCGGTGCTTTAAAATTAGTAATTTCGAAACAATTTTATCTTTTATTGAAAAATTAACCTTATGGTTAAATTTGAATGACTATTTCGATCAACAAACGTGAAGAGATTTTAGGTGCATCACATCGCCTTGGAAAAGGCGTTACAATGCTAGTAACATGCCATCTCGCGCCCTTTTCTCGTGGGTTATCATCATCCAGTTTAAAAAAAAATAAACTGAGTCCACTTCTACTAGTCATATATCGATAACTTGTATTTTCACTGAAAATTTAGAGTTTTTATTTTCTATTTCGGCAAAAAATAGCTGTCATTTGGGTTTTATATGAAAATGGAAGTGATTACCCATGCATCAGAAAGTGTCCGATGCATGGGTTAATTTGTGTCCGATGTACGGTGAAATAAACATACTAGTAAAAAACAACTCTAAAAAATATTCTACAAACATTGAAGTAAATTTTTTTTTTAAAAATTCTTTACAATTATTAATCTTCGACAAATTTTACTTAGGTCCGACTCTATTTGAAAGAACGACAACGCTAAAAATTACAAAATCGTAAAATTCTGGTTACTCCCCTTTGATGATGCAAAATATGACGTAATTTCAAAGCCATTCTTGTGGTATTTTTATCACAGCATGAAACTAAAAATCGGCATCATTAAAAAGTTTAAATCTTCACCTCTAAGACAGAAACTAGTAAAAGCACGGGGACACTCAGGTTCAATGAAAGTTTATTGCTTAAAGTTGTCCGAAGCAAGGTATGTGTCCGATGCATGGTTAACTCACCCTACGTAATCCTTGTGATATCACCTTCCTTTGGATACCAACCACTTTGACCCTTTGACCTTGACATAGGAGTTTGTCCTACTTTTGAAAAACTTTAACCTTGGCTATAACTTTTGAATGGTTGGTGCTAGGGCTTTCATACTTCACATATGTAATTCTTGTGACAAGACCTTCCTTTGGATACCAACCACTTTGACCCTTTAACCTTAACATAGTAGTTTGACCTACTTTCGAAAAACTTTCGCCTTGGTCATAACTTTTGAATGGTTGGTGCTACGGCTTTCATACTTTACATATTTAATCCTTGTGACAAGACCTTCCTTTGGATTCAACCACTTTGACCTTGACCTTGACGTTTTACTTTCTTTTAAAAAACTTTAACCTTCGCCATAACTTTTGAACAGTTGCAGCTAGGTCATTCAAATTTCACAGGTATATTCCTCGAGACATGACCTTTTTGGGTACCAACATTTTTATCTTTAGGCCTGGATTTTGACTTGCATTTGAGAAACTTAAACCTTCGCCATAAGCTAGCTGCCATACGGGGGCATCAGTGTTTCACAAACATATCTTGTTTTATTTTCATATTGATTACCGGACACTGTAATATTTCTTTCGTTCTTTATGTAGTCATAAATGTGTTTTGTTTTGAACATGTTACATACCTCGTCGCACCCATATACAACGTTAACCTTTTCTTGGAACACACAACCTATCATGTCGACCAAATCTTTAGATGAAAACTTGATCCCAGCTAAATTCGGTATTTTCTCTTTTGCTCTACGTATGAAGTCTTCCATATTAACTGAAAATACAGTCATAATTATTTTACAGATCAGAATTATGTTACTTTGGTTCAAAAACCACCTGAAATCTACAACTGTATATTTGCATTTGCGAGCGTTTGTAACACGTGCAAGTATATAATTCTACCATGCAAAGTTTACATGTATCTTGGTAACCCTTTTATAAGATACTTGTGTTGTATCAGTGATCAGCTAGTCAAAAGTATGTGACCAGCCATGAGATTTCTTATTTTCATAAAGAAGTTTTTGAATAAATTTTACTTCATGCAACACATCATAAAGTCTTCTGAACTAAAACCACTGATACTGTTATAGTTTGAGAATTGAAGCCAGTCCTCCATTACGGTAAAAAATAATACTTAAACCTTAAACACTACTTAAACCTATTTTCAGATATGACTTACACTCGACTCCAGTCATGATAGGTAGATGATAGTAATAAAACGGAAGATGGGGCGCAACATCCGCTATGGCTTTGCAGTGTTCTATCAGAGTGTCTAAAAAATAACCAAGTCTATATGACTATTTCTGTTTATTTAAAATAAGACACAGTGACTTAAGGTACACTTCGTCGCAAACCACGTTTAGAGTGCACTAACTCACGATATAGAGAACTTACTTGACATTTGCTATTTATTTAACATTTAAAGGAAGTAATTTTAAAGAAAATGATTTAGTGATATGATATGTGTGTTAATTCTTTTGATTGATAATAGAATTTATGATACTTAGAAATACGACATTTGTCTATATTGAGACCTATTTTTCTTAAGAAGTTCACAAAGGCTCTTAATTGTTTTGGCATTTTACTAATGCTCATTTTTCTCTCTCTGACATACCTGTACTTTGAGGTTTGAAGAACAGTGGTGGAAGTGATGCTAATGCATCAGCGCCGGCTTCCTCTGCATGCTTGGCCTGTATTTATTACACCAGATCATTCTCATTTTATCTTACACACATACATAATATGTATAAACTTTATAAGTTCTACAATGAAATGATTGATGATATTCCAATCCTCATGAATAATTATATTCTACAACAGTATGTTCAATACAGTAAGTTGACATGTGTAGAAAATAAGTAATTTATCAAGTTTAACTAAAATACATGTACTTTCTGTTACATAGAAACATTGCCATCGAAGTAATACATGTAGATACGTACTAGTTCTTTGCTTTCTCTGACGTTGAGGACACCAACATGAGCAACAATTTTAATCCTAATTGAGATAAAGAAATATTGACTTTATGTTGAAAGAGTTCTGAATTTTGAATCACTGACATAAAAATTTTGATGGTTAACTTGTAAGTTTGAAATATTAATATCATCGTTCAGTTAACAGAAATGCTGGACAAATTGAACAAGCATTCTGAGAGTATTGCATTAGCAATACTAGTCCCCGGCAAGTGTAATCTGGTTCCCGCTAAAATTGAAAATGCCATAATTCCGTCAAAAATCAATGAATCGGAATGAAATGCACACTTGATCTATAACTCATCAAGGTAGTCACATACCAAAAAATCAGCTCAATATCTGCAAGCGTTTAGAAAAAAATTGCGGAAAACCCTGAAAAATTTAAAAGGTCGTAATTCCGCCTAAAATCATTGAAGCGGAACGAAATGCAAACTTGGTCTGTAACTCATCAAGATACACTCGCATACCGAAAATCAGCTCAATATCTGCAATCGTTTAGAAAAAAGTGCGGAAAACCAAGTGGGACAGACTGACTGACAGACAGACAGAGGAAAAGGCGGACAGACAGACGGACGGTTAGACTCGGAGAAAACCTATAGTCCCTTCCGGTTTCACCGGTAAGTGACTAATAAAAAACATTAACGAGTCTTGAGGTATTTCCACACCTACACATTTATGGGTTCAAACAAGAAAAAAGAATGCATTAATTTCCACTAAAACAGCTTAATAGAATTGAACTTATCAATTAAGATATCCATTTTCCAATAAAAGTATATATATATATATATATATATATATATATATATATATATATATATATATATATATATATATATAGAATATGTATGAATGAAGAACTTCAAGCATAATAACTAGGAGTTTTTGCCCTTTGCACCAATAAAAAAAAAATAAATAATTACTGCATTTCTTTTCAATTTCCATAAAAAATCCATATTTTAAGCTATACTGGACAGAGACCAGAAGAGCTTAAGCGATAGTAAGATGTCCGTCGTCCGTCCGTCTGTCTGTCCGTCCGTCCGACTGTAAACAATTTTTCAAAATGCTTCTCCTCCTAGAGTTTTAGTCTGATTTGCGTGATTACAGTATTACTTAACATACAATTAGACAACACTAAGATACATAATTCTGTATATCGGTTTCTTATTTCGATGAAGGTTGTTTCCATGGTTACTAAAATTAGAATTTTCTGTATAATACATCCAATGATTTTAATATATCTTGGCACACAAGTAGACTACATTAAGACACATAATTTTATTTATCGATTTTTGGTTTCGATGAACGGTGTTGTCACGGTTACTAAAAATAGAAATTTTTGGGGAAATACTTTCAGAACGCTACCCCTCCTACAATTTTGCTCCGATTTCAGTATAACTTCTCACACAAGTAGACTTCACTAAGATACATAATTCTGTTTATCCGTTTTTGATTCCTATGAACAGTGTTGCTATGGTTACTAAAAATAGAAATTTCTGATAATTTTAAAGCGCTTCTCATCCTACAGTTTTGGTCTGATTTCAATATAAATTGGCACACACGTAGTTTACATTAAGATAAATAATTGTCTTCATGGTTTTATGATTTTAACAAATATTGTAATCATGGTTACTAAAAATAGAAATTTCTGTTAAATTCTTTCAAAAGTCTCGTCGAAGACTTGGTTATGTTTCCTTTTGAAAGACATTTTTCGAAAACATAAATTCATATTACACTATAATAATCAATGAAAGATTTCATAAACCTATTTTATGACATCGCATTATTGAAGGTGGAAATACCTTAAGGAAAATACAAGTATTGTGTCTCTCAAAAATTAGTTTACCTGTAGAACCACCACATTTGCAATTAAGTTAAAAAGAAGTGAGCAAAAGGTTCAAAATATGCACAAAGAGACAAATAAGAGTACTTCGTATGTTCTTGTAGCAGATGGGAAAAATCGGAACTTGATTCCCTAAAACTTTATGCATTAATAGGATTTACATTCCTGAAACCCTTTGAATTAAAAGGAATGTACCTTCAGGAAGCTTTATGCTCAAGTAGAATTTACCTCATTAACATTCGTGCCTAAATGGGAATTTACCTCCTCCTAGAAACCCGAATCCACTCCTCTAGAATTCTTTTCCTTTCATCCTTTGTTAATGATTTTCCTTCACCCGTAGTTCCATTCACTTTAAAAGAGATATTATCAATTTAAACTCAGTAGATGAAATATTACTATAACTTAAAAATTATTTGTTTTAATGCTGTTAAGCTAAAAACATTGAAAAAATACCATATATGGCTTTAAGATTGTTCTTCAACAAGTATTCACAATATGGACCAATTTTGGATAACTCAAGCTCCCTGGAAAGAAATGCAAATAATATCTTTTTTCCGGAATGTTTTTAATTATACGTGTACAAGTAATGAAAAATGGGCTTGGAATAATCCTTAGAACCTTAATTTTTACTCCGTTAAAATATCAATTAGAATGCATACAATGGAAAACTCGTGAGAGGAGGAAAAAGATAGTTACCCATTCTGATCAAAGGGAGTGAATACAGCTGGTACAAGTCCTTCCAGCCAAAAGTCTGCTGAATTCTAAAGAGAATTTAATAATAAGATGTGTATAGTAAGTATCGTAACTCATTCTTTGAATATTATAATAACAGAGTATATGCTACTGCATAAGAGCACTTTTTTTAAAGCTTGACTGGCCAAAGAAGGGCTTACGCAATGGTAAGATGTCCGTCGTCTGTTAGTCTGGCCGCATTTACATATTGTTTTTAACAAGAGGCACATGGGCCACATCGCATACCTGAGCACTTTGGCTAGGAAAGAGCAGAAATCAGTTCAGTATTGAAAAGTTTAAATATAAAAGTGGTTGAGGGTATGATTTGAATGAACTTGAATCTACACCACCTAAGGATGCTTTTGATTTAATATGACTAATAATGGCTTTGCTGTATTTAAGAAGGCATTTTTATTGATATATCCTTTATATTCCTTTGTATAACTATGATCCCCTGTTATGGCCTCTCTATTCTCCGGGGGGGGGGGTGTCATGATTTGAACAAATTTGAATCTACATTACCTGAGGATGATTTTATTTTTTATTATGATCAATCACGGCTTTGCTGTTCTTAAGAATAAGATTTTTTAAAGATTTTTCCTATGTTTTCCTATGTAAACATTGATCGCCCACTGTGGCCCCACCTTACCCCTGGGGGTCATGATTTTAACAAACTTGAATCTACAATACCTGAGGATGTTTCCAAATAAATATAACCAATCATGGATTTGATGTTCTTGAGAAGAAGATTTTTAAAGATGTTTCCTATGTGTTCCTATGTAAAACTTTGATCGCCCACTGTGGCCCCACCCTACCCCGGGGGTCATTATTTGAACAAACTTAAATCTTCACTACCTGAGGATGCTTTCATATAAATATGACCAATCATGGCTTTGCTGTTCTTGGGAAGATTTTTAAAGATTTTCTCTATGTAAAACATTGATCGCCCACTGTGGCCCCATCCTACCCCGGGAAGTCATGATTTGAACAAACTTGAATCTACATTGCCTGAGGATGATTCCACATAAGTTTCATATTTCTAGCACAGTGGTTCTTGAGAAGAAGATTATTAAATGATGCCATTAATTTTTCATCAATTCTTAATTATATCTCTCCTTGAAAGAAGGCGTGGTCCTTCATTTGAACAAACTTGAATCCCCGTTACCCAAGGGTACTTTGTGGCAAGTTTGGTTGAAATTAGCCCAGTGGTTCTTGAGAAGATGAAAATGTGAAACGTTTACAACGACGACGACAGACAACGGAAAAATTTCGACCAGAAAAACTCTTGAGTCTTCGGCTCAGGTGAGCTAAAAAGATGACCCTCCTATAGTCTTGTCCTCATTTCAGTTAAATTAGCTACACACTTAGACAACAGTAAGTAGGTACACATGTAACTCTGTGTATCAGTTTTTAATTTCGATAGTTGTTGTCGTGGTTACTAAAAATGAATTTTCTGTTAAATTCTTTCAAAGCACTACTCATCAATTTGGTCGGATTTCAACAAAACTTGGAAAGCAGCTTGACAACACCAAGAAAGATAATCATCTGTATCAGTTCTTAATTTCAAAGAAAAGTGATGCATATCGTTACTAAATATGCAAATTATCTATGAAATGATTTCAAAACTTTACACCTTTTTCAGTTGTAATTCAATTTTACCTAAAAAAGTAAACAGCACCAAGTTACATGATTCTATGGTTTTGACAAACGGCATTGTCGTGATAACTAAAAAATAATTCTTCGAAATTTTTCAAAAACACTTCTCCTTCTACATTATTGGTCCAATTTCAATAAAACATGGCTAAAAACTTGACTCTACCAAAATACTTAATTTGGTACAATGGTTTATGGTTTTGAAAAAAAAACAAAACAAAACAAGACGTTGTTTTCTTGGTTATCAAAGTTAAAAAATCTCTGAAGAAATTTCTCCAAAACACCTGCTACATTTTTGTATTCACTGTTCTTTATCTTCATATTTCATCAAGTTTAGAAAACGTCAACAAGCGTAATTTTGTAAATTTGAAAGTAAAAAAAGTGTTTCAAGCCCAAAAGCAAGTTTTAAGATCCAATAGAGCTCAAGTCTCATAATAAGAATTAAACTTCTTTTTTTTTGTTTTTACAGTTAGCCAAGTAAACGACATATATACTATTTTGAAATCTTTGATGTCATTCTTTTGTTTAACAGTTGAAAAAGATCATCATTCTGTAGGAGTCTGCTAACATAGGTGTTCAAAAATATGTTATCAGATTCCAATAAATTTTCCCTTTGCCGACTTATCGGACTCTAGCTTCTACGTAACATTAAAGTGGGTAGTGTTTTGAAATAGGCCTCAAACAGTTCGATAGTATTTAATATATATAAGAACAGTGTTCTCTATTTATGTATTTACATATCCTTTTTACATACATACTTCCCTAAACGTCTAACACTTGATCAATGTAACCAAGTCAAGCGTCAAAAATAGCCAGACAGGTTTATAAAGGCTGAATTGGTTTGTCCCCATGATCAGTGGGCAGAAAAAACAGATTTAGATATTAGTGATACAAGCCTGACATCTTGCGCACTTACCTTCGCCATTGCCTCTAAACTAACTATATTTGTACAGATAACAATAGATTAGCAACCTCAACAGGACTCGGTATCTACAAGTGTTTCTCTTATTCTATAAATATCAAGGAAGCGAAAGAGAGGAAAATTAAACTACATATTCACGTGATAGATAAATTAAAACGACCAAAGTTCTTAACAACATAAACTAATAATTATATACGTTTTAAGCCCTAAACAATCGGGCATTAGTTATAGAAAGCCAACAGGGTCAAAATTTCATCTTTTTTTTAAATGTACATGCACATGTAAACTTCAATATGTACATGTAAATTGTTTATAATAGATTCATAATTTGTCAAATGTTCTATCACAATTTGTAACGATCCAAACTATAAGTCATCATGTCTAAAATTTTATTGCAAGTTATGACATAAAAATATGCATTTCGTAGACTTGCCCGCGATTTGTATTCTGCAGAACTGTAGCTCTCTGAAAAGAAATATTGACATGCCGGAGAGCTACAGTGCCAACCAAAGAAAAAAATGAACATTTACTGGGCAGGAAAAAAGTTGTTAGCATTATAGCTAATAGAAAATATGCAAATATATATTGGGAGTAGCGAGCATCATACATTCTCGACCAGTGATCAAGTGTAGTTGCTTCAGGTCCAAGTTGCAGACTGGCCATCCCAGTGGTGACTGTAACAGTAGATGCTTTCCATAATTTCAATTACCTAGCAATTATCCTAAAACATATGATAATTCATTTTTCTTATGAAATACTTACATGTTTTAAAATAAAATGTACTCACACACTTCCCTAAAACATACATAGGAAAGGAGTTTACTAAAGGGAGGACCATTTGATTTTGAGGGGGTTGGGAAGGGGAGGGGGGGTTGTCCAATAGGACTTTTTTTCATGCCCCTGCAGGACCAAATACCGGTATTAATTGTATTCCTAAGATGATCAGAGACAGTTTATTCATTTCTTCCCTGACAAAAGCCAAAAAAGAATAAAAAAGAATGTACGCCAACTGGAAAATTCTATTTGGGGGGGGGGGGGGGCAGTCAAGGTCAGATTATCAGATTATTTCTTTCCCAGTGTAGGACAGATTATTTATTTTCGACATTTTCAAGGAAAAAATTGTTTATTTCCAAATTCTGTCCGTCCTTTCCCAGCCCCCTCCCCCCCCCTTGAATCAAATGGCCATTCCCTTATCATCCCTATCAGTGCTCAGATAAATTTTTGCTACAGCAAATAGGTCTATATTTTCAGATATGAAATTCCTAAACTTTCTCATACTTTTTAATTTAAGCTGGCTCTGAATTTAAAGGCTAAGACAAATGGAATGTTTGTGAGTCTTCGAGATGTCCTCTGTGCAGACAATTGGAACAAATGCACAACGCCCAGGGACACTGAGCAAACTTATAAGAATACTTTTTGATGAAGAATCAACGTTTCCTAAACAGTGAAAAGAGGACAAAGGAATCTTTTTTTTTTAAATCTTGGTCCAACAGCAGTTACAAGCAACAATAACACTGTATAGGTACCATATATGAATTAAGTTCAAGAAACTATAAGATTCCTTGCATTCACATGTCCACTGCCATTTGTAAGAGATATTGTACATGTAAATGGTGTGGTTGGATTTGAACCCAATAACTTCTGGATACAAGTCGATTAAAAAATTATCTTCAGACTTTGCCGTACCCCTGTCTCAAACATTGATGAAATTCTTTATTTAAACTTACTTTGAAATCTGTGCTGTCAAAACAGGCTATCACAAAGATTATGCTTTCTTTCCAAAAACATTTAAGGAGGCGAAATTCTCGACTGCTTATGAGATAAAACAACTCTAGTATGTTAAGGAAACATTCAAATCATTTTTCGGGAAATTTAGACTTTCTTATTAAAGAAATTTAAGTTTTACAAATATCAAAGCCACCAATAAAACATCACGTGACTGCTATTAAAAGAAAATATTCCTTTATATAAAAAAGTAAACAGAACAACACTACCCCAAGGTGTATTGCTATATCTGAATGAAATTTTAAGGCAAAATTCAAAATTGAAATAGGTATTTGTATGTAAAATTGTCGAAAACCTTTGATTATTAAAGATTTTATAACAGTTGTGACATTACGTACTTTTGGATCAACCCTCGGATAAAGTGAAATCAGTACTGCACCATTCACCTGGAATGAATTGCCAAAACAGGATGTCTGTCCCTCCTGCAACATTTCAAGAGTTAGAAAAACAATAACAAAGAGGAAGTAATAGTATTCAGATAGCAGTGAAGGTGAAGAATCAGAATCCAAAGAGAATGTGAAAATTCCATGCCCTGTTCAAATGGACGATGAACAAATTGAAAAGGATTACACATTGGTGAAGAGTTTATCGACAGAATTCATTCAAAATATTCAAAGTTCGAACATTTCAACAAAAAGAAAGATCTAAACACTTTATCAGAATGGATCAAGTTTAAAAGGCAATATGCGAACCATCTATGATAATCCTTCCATTTTCACTAAATCGGATGTTATCAAAGAATTAGAAAGACTACATGGTTCCAGCTGAAAAGGCTTATAACAGTATCGTCTTTGTTTGCAAGGCTCATTATTATAATTGTATTTTAGAAGAACTTCGTTTTATTCTATTTTTTGGAAATCCAACTTATACTAGCAGTTCACTTTCTAAAATCACATTTCAGTATTTAAAACTTTTAACATTCGAGTCAACTAAGGTGAGTTCGATCTACACTACCTATACTGGATTCCTGAACTTCATAAAAATCCTTACAGAGATATATCGCAGGGTCAAGCAAATGCTCTACTTAGCCGCTATCCTTACTCCTAAGAAAACATGAGACCCAAGGGCCTTAACGGTCACCTGAGTATTATACAACAATGTAAAGGAACTATAGAAGTATAAAACAAAATTAACTGACAGACGAAGCAATGTTGCCCAAGAATTTCAAAAATCTGGTAAAAATACCCTTGCTTATTGTAATGTGCTAGACTCGAGTGATCTCCATGAGATCATACTTGGTTTTCCAAAGTCTTACAGGGATGATAATGAATGCAAAATATACAAATACAATGGACACTTGCCTATTGTGTAAGGTATTCAATATATACAGATATGTTTCTGTCACTTGCCTAGTGCTACGATTCAGTACACACAGACTTGGGTATACAATGTGGCTACTGTAAACCAACTTTTATTCGCGAGCGAGAAAAATTCGCGAGTTTCACGATGTTCTTTTACTCGCGAATATTATCGTCGCGAACCAATGATACACCTTCTATGTAGAATGTTGCTTCAGTCGCGAAAATTAGTAGTCGCGGATGGATTCTTAACTGAAGAATCGCGAATAAAAGATGTCGCGAATAAAAATTGGTTTACAGTATTTGCCACTTGCCAGTTGTCACTATCTACAATAAGTCACCCCGGCTCTCTTTGATTCTTTATTCACTTTGATAGAGCATAAAACAACTATATCCAGTCTCTTGTCAACCATGACTCTTCTACCAGTGACAATATATTAGATCACCTCGGTGTAAACATACAATGTACAATTACAAATTTTGCTAAGTATATAAAAATCCTTATATCAATATTTTATACTGCTTTTCAGGCAAGAATCTGACTTTGAGCATGCTTTGCTCATTTAAACCAAACATTCATTTTTATTTTGTTTCTATATACATAACATTCTTTCTTGTATTCTCATTCAATCAAATAACCTGTTGATTAAAGTGTATACAAGGATTTCTTGATTAACAACATTTAGCAAAGGGGAGTAACTCTCATTTGCTTCACTTATCACAATTGTGTACTCTGTTTGCCTCTTAGATACCCAGATGCAAAGAAAAGGCTTATTTACTTATAATTATAATATCTAATACATTTACATTGATATCACTGCATTTAGTTTGCCTAGTACTCAGGGACAGAGGAGAAAATTGTCAAAACATTAACGCAGTTTTGCTAATTAATCAATAGAGCCCCACCCAAGCGCAAGAACCCCTGACCCAGGGGCCATGAAATTCTTAATTTTGGAAGAGGCATCCTTTCTCAGCATAACTATGTATTTAGTTTGTTTAATTAATACCAAGGGGCAGAGGAGAAGATTTCCAAAGCATTAATTTACTTTCAGTATATAATAAATAAGCCCCACCCCACCACCCCAAAATGGAACCCCTGACCAAGGGGCCATGAAATTCATAATTTTGGAAGAGGCACTCTTCCTCATCATAACTATATACTTAATTCATCGGCTTAAAACCCAGGAGCAGAGGAAAAGATTTTTAAAGAATTAATGCATTTTCACTTTATAATCTTTAGAGCCCCGCCCTAACACACAACCCCTGACCCAGGGGCCATGAAATTCATAATTTTGGAAGAGGCACTCTTCCTCATCATAACTATGTACTTAATTCGTCGGCTTAATTCTAAGGAGCAGAGGAGAAGATTTTCAAAGAATAAATGCATTTTCACTATATAATCATTAGGGCCCCGCCCTAACACCAGAACTCCTGACCCAGGGCCATGAAATTCACAATTTCGGAAGAGGCTTCTTTGCTCATCATAACTATGTAATTAATTCATCGGCTTAATTCCCAGGAGCAAAGGAGAAGATTTTCAAAGACTTAATGCATTTTCACTATATAATTATTAGAGCCCCGCCCTAACACACAATCCCTGACTTTGGGGCCATGAAATTCATAATTTTGGAAGAGGCACTCTTCCTCATCACAACTATGTAATTAATTCATCGGCTTTATACCCAGGAGCAGAGGAGAAGATTTTTAAAGACTTAATGCATTTTCACTATATAATCATTAGAGCCCCGCCCTAGCGCCAGAAACCCCTTACCCTGGGGCCATGAATTCACAATTTTAGTAGAGGGCTCATTTCTTATTACAATCATGCCAACAGTTTGACTGCTTGATGTCCAGGAGTAAAGAAGAAGATTTTTAAAGATTGCATTAATTATAGTGGTTTTGGCCCCACCCCTCAAGCCCAAGGAGGACAGGGACCATGAAATTCACAATTTTCCCCTTTACCCATAGATGCTTTATGCCAAAATTGGTTGAAATTGGTTGATCAGTTGCAGAGAAGAACACACGACGACGGACGAAAACGGATAGCAATAGGTCATCTGAGTTTACTCAGGTGACCTAAAAATTACCTTCTGTTAAGGAGAAACTTTAAACTGTACTACAGCATATTCTAGAAGTGGTGTAAATCAGATGTGGATTCTCAAAAATTCCAAAGAACTTTAAGAAAATCTAAAATCGCCAAATTTTTCAAAAGTCAGCAACATCAAAACGTACGACTTTTCTACACTTTATACAACCATTCCTTACGATAAATTAAAAACCAAAATTTTTGGTATCACAGGTAACTGCTTCTTCAATAAACAATTAACAAAATTACTTAGTTAAAGTCACTCTGATTCTACACACAAGTACCCTGAAGTTGATATTAAAACGATGCTGGAGTTCCTCATTGAAAACATTCGGAGACCAGGCCTCAAGACCATAAACTGAGAACAGCCTTTAGTCATAATTTCGACTTTGAATATCTTGAGTTTCACTTAAAATATATGTTAAAAAATTTGCAGATTTGAACAAGCATTCTGAGAATATTGCATTAGCAATACTAGTCCCCTACCGGCAAGTGTAATCTGGTTCCCGTTAAAAATTGAAAATGCCATAATTCTGTCAAAAATTAATGAAGCGGAACGAAATGCAAACTTGACCTATAACTCATCAAGGTTAAGTCACATACCAAAAATCAGTTCAATATCTGCAAGCGTTTAGAAAAAAAGTGCGGAAAACCAAGTGGGACAGACTGACAGAGGGGCAGACTTAGAGGATACCTATAGTCCCCTCCGGTTTCACCGGTAGGGGACTAATAACATAAAACGTAGTAATATCCCGCTATCACCTGCATATGGTGTTTACATCTCCCAACTTTTTCGATACTCAAGAGCATGCTCCGAAAACGATCCATTTTTAAACCGAGACGGGCTACTGACAGATAAGTTGGTGTTACAGTAATTTCAACAGCCTCTTTAAAAGTCAGCATTTCGTAAATTTTATGGTCGTTATAATGACTTGTTAGCAAATATAACATCGTTGGATCGTTTTTTGGCTGACTTGTTTCAAACCAATTGTTAGGTCTTTGTATTTGTACTGAATTTGACTACGAAAAATTCTGTCTACATGATCAATACATAGGGCTCACGGCGGGTGTGACCGGTCAAAAGGGGATGCCTACTCCTCCTGGGGGCCTGATCCCACCTCTGAAATTTCCAGGGGTCCGTGTTTTGTGTCCTCTTCACAGAATTGTATTGTTTATAGATTTTTTTGGATCGATCGCTGTTCGTTATCTGCACCCTTTTCATTATCAAACACTCCAACGAAAACTGCAAAATAGAAGGTAAGTATAACCCAAACTTAACTTGATAGGAAAATGTTGACATATTGTTCTTAACAAACGTGATCAGAAGGACATGGAAGAGCAAGTCAGTTTTGTTTTGAAGCAAAAAGTATTGCCAGAACATTTTGGAATTTTAACGAAATCAAGCCCTAGAACTGTACATGTCAAGATTTAAAGAAACAACAGCGATTGTGGAATCCAAAAGTTGTTAGCCTTTGTTTAATATAGTGCATTCGTTCACTATAGGTGAAGATTTAAAGAAATCAAACTTCCTACTACTGTCGTCCAAGCGATTACTCCGCTATAACAGGAAATCTACTAAACAGATTCCAGGATTTGTGATGAAAATTTTTCGTGGATGACCAAAGAAATGGAAAAAACTTAATATTTCAGAGTTTGAAAGACATGTTGGTCTCAATTGATGTGACGACAATTCAGGACGAATTATTCATCACAAAATCAGGTGAAGCTTGGAATTTGTTTCGATTTGTCAATATGGAAAGTATGAACAAGAACATAGACATTACTTGCAAGGGAAAGAAAGAAATGAAACTAGCAACATACATGTACTATGTTGTTTATTTGTTTTTCATGGATTAACTGGATTCAGGTAAATTGTATTAAATGTGTATTGGAATTCACTATGTTTAAAACATTAAATGAGCTATTTTGAGTTCAGTTGTAATGTTTAGTATAGAAAAGATGAACATGTATTCTTGTCAACAGAGTTTAAATCATTGTCAGTATAACACGAGTGAGTAACAAGGCGAAAAGTCTTATAATGGTGGCCAGCGGTGTTTTTGGTTTTAATCCAGGTACAGCACACCAACTCTATTATTATATTTTTGGAAACGTGTGGATCTTCTACAGGCTAGGAAAGTTCATCTGCATTTTAAAATTACAAATGGAGCATCAACAAACAGAAAATTTGCAGGGATGTTGTTGATACACCAAGAAACTGATTAATGTTTTCAGTGACATATTTTCCGTAGCACAAGATAGCATATATTCAAGATGCGATGCACTGCCTATAGAAAATACGTAACACCATATAATCTAGTTAAGCACAAGACAGATGCTGGAAGATAATTGCTGCTTGAAAACATATGTATTGTTGTTTGACATTGGGAAGAGAGCTTCATATTCAACTTTCAAGGTGGATGGGTTCTCCATTCATAGGAAATTCACAGAGAAACACATCAATCTTACGCCAGCAGCAAAGATTAGAAATGAAATGACCATGCAGGTACTCAACAAGGATATGCTGTTCCTAATGAAATCCTACCAGTCTACAGACATAAAAAATCCAGAGAAACTTGCAACAAGCACCACATTCCTGAGAACAAATATCATAAATTGTCGAAGAAGAAAAGAGAGTATGGATCTAACTGGCATTATTAATATATACCTCCAAACTATCATTTCTTCATAAAATCAATGTTTTTCTTTATTGTCATGAACAAATCATTTTCTTTTCCTTATGCAGACTGAGAGAATAAATTCGAGCTTCCGAGAATTAAGTCGCCGTCATTAATCCTACACCATTTTTCATACTATTTTCTTTCATTACTTTGATTGTCTGACTCATTCACATGTCATCTGTTGCACTCTACTTTAGTGTTACATTTAAAAGTGTAACCACTGGTCACCTTCACAATATTTGAATAACCGCTGATCGTCGTCTCGAGAGATCGGATCCATTTTCACCATCAATTTCAATCGGGTAAGCCTTATTTGACTGTAATATTATCCAATCGTCTTTCACCAGATTTAAGACCGTCACGGTAGCTCACTCGGTAGAGCGCTCGCTCCGTGATCGGAAGGTCATGTTCGAATCACGGCCGCGACTGACCTAAGTCGATAAAATATAGGTAACAACTGTTTCTTCGCCAAGCGCTCGGCACTTTGAAGTAAAGTAAAAGTTGCGGGTCCTTCGGATGAGACCTTAAAAACCGAGGTCCCATGTCACGGTAGGCGTTGGTACAATAAAGAACCCTCACTGCTCAATGGCGCCGAGTAAAGGTGTGAATTTGAAGCCCTTCACCGATATATGGTGACATCTCTAAACGAGTGAAAAAATCTTGAATGGGACGTAAAAAAAACACACAATCAATCAATTCACCATTTAAAGTTTAGCTATTCAGTAATTAGGAAATTAATTTAATACCTACCCAATTTATAGGGTATAAAGTGGGTTGGGGCAGTTTACGCTTTATAAACCGCGAAACGGTTCTTAAAAAAAGCGTAAACTGTTCCAACCATTTTTTACCGTATAAATTGGGTAGCTATTAATTTCATTCTTTATAATTTAATTTTCATTCATTTAGTGTAAGAAAAAAGATGATTACCCTTAAAAAATAACTTCAAATTGTACAAAATTTAAATGTAACGTCAGGCGGATCGATACGTTTTTGACGCAAGTCATTGTGACGTAGGCAACCCAATTTATACGATATAAATTTTTTTTATCCAATCAAATACCGCGTTATAACTAGAATTAAATTATATGAGTTTGAAGAAGAAAAAAAGACAGGAAAACGATCCCAACATCACTCCACATAATATCTAATTAAACTTAATTTCTGTTTACCGGTATACAAATTTTTATTATTTACGTTTACGTATTTATTTACGTTACTTATTTCTCTGTTTGATATAAACAGAGATTAAGAATTTTTTCCAAGATGGGGGGGGGTGTTTCCATGTCCATTCAAAAGTTTTTCAAATGTGGAGGACGTATGATGTCAAGAAAATAACATAAATTCAACATTTCAATGATTTTAAGTGTATTGTTCGATATTTTGATTAAAAGTCACCGAGTGCAAGTCTGCTTCAGCTCATTTTTTTCGAAATAATATGTAGAATCAAAATATCAATGAAATACAGTCAAAGTCGCAAAAACAAAAATATAGAATGCTCTACTTCCAAATTATTATTAATTCAGGCTTTTTATACAATTTAGTACATTGCATGACATTTTCAAAATACATGTATTTTAAGTGTTTAAATAAAGAATAAAAATTCAAAAGTAAACAACTTTTCCTTGATCTTGCAGAAACACTAAATAAAGACATACAAGTAGTAAGAAGTACGCGTAGAATCGTTGTAAGTAGGACATACGCACTTTATCTTGACAGTTATCTCAGTGATTAAACTTTCGATGATAAGGCACGTTATTCCTTTTACGAATCACTCAGGTTTGAAAGAATATGTATCACACAGTCCTCTCTGTTTGCCTTCTGGCATTGGTTTTTCTAGTGACCAAGGGTCAAGATTTGCCTGTCCTTGCCACCTCCGCCTCCGGCTGCCTTTACCATGGGAAACATTACCCTCTTGGACCATTTAAGCCCTCAGCATGTGAACCTTGTCATTGCACGTCCTCTGGTCAAGCATACTGTGCCATTGTAGACTGCTTTTATGGCGGTTGTGTCGATGCTGTTCATGATCCGGATCATTGCTGCCCAGTATGTCCAAATGGTGAGAAAATCTTCGTTGCTTGAAAAAGGATAGACATGTTATAGGAATTTTGAGATAGAAAGGTGCTAAAAGATTTTTTTTTTTGGTTTGTTTGTTTGGTTTGTTTGTTTGTTTGTTTGTTTTTTGTTGTTGTTTTTTTTGTTTGTTTTTTTTTGGTTCTTTTTTTTTTTTTTTTTTTTTTTTTTTTGTTATTGTTTAACGTCTTTCTCGAGAATTTTTCACTCATATATATGGAGCTAAAAGAAGACTAGTAGCTATCAAAAAAGAATAACCGTAGTATGTTTAAAATTTTAAATAATTCTGATTTTCACGTAAAGCTTTTTATAACATAACGAACGAGAATTTCAAATATTTCAGCACAGTATAAATGTTTTTTTTTTAAATGAAGAAATAGATTGACATGTATGTGCAATTCATGTAAATTTTCTTAATATAAATTGGTTTTATATATACACACTAAGAGAGTCAATACAACACGATATTTTTTTCATCTTCTTTAGGAAGAAACTGCCAGGCCCCGGACGGCACAATAATAAAGCATGGTGATACATATTCTACCGCTGATATGACGTGTCACTGCTCTGCGCATTCATTTGGTGGGACAAGGGCAGAATGTGCCCTTAAGTTAGAGCCAATCAAGATTGTGGATCCGCTCCCAGTGGTTAGCTAGACTGCGGAAACCAATAAAAAGCTTCTGTAGGAATCAGCTGATAAAATCCAAAAGAGACGGCTCTATATAAGTTTTCTGAGTCAAGGTTAAAATTAAAGAAGGTTACTTTTTTCAGAAAAATGTATGACATGTCCCTGCAATTTGGACTAAGGCAAATTGCGTCCTGCAGTGCGAGCAAAACGAAATTGTGGATCCTAGTTCAAACTTTAAGGGGTATTTTTACATTAAAAAAAGGTCAAGAAAACGAACAGTGATTGGTGTATAAAAAACCTACAAACAATACAACTCTGTGAACAGAGCATGCATACAGACCCCCATGCAATTCCAGAGGTGGGATGAGGTGATTAGCAGGAGTAAGCATCATATGTTGACCGGTCACATCCACCACGAGCCCTATATATTGATCAGGTGGATGGAATATTCTGTAGCCAAATTTGCTAAACAATTCATATATGAAATAAGTCAGTCAAAAATCAAAATACGACCCAATGATAGGTTATATTTGCTAACAGGGTCATTATAACGATATACTAACTTTGTACGAGGTTGTTGAAATCCCTGTAAATTAACTTATCTGTTAGTAGTCTGCCTCGGTTTACTTTAATAATTGACCGTACTCTAAGCATGCTCTTGGGTATCGAATAAGTTAGAAGACAAAAACACCATACGTAGGTGATAGCGAAACACCTTTACTTATAAATTAATAAATTTTGCAAATAAACTCCGAAAGGCCTGCACCATAGTTCTTACTTAATCTTCTATCATTCCATTAGATATGAGATGATGTCCGAAAATTAAATTCAGATTTCATTCGCATATTAATTTGTAATTATCGTAAATTTAATTAAAAGTCTACTTTCATTTTCGATAAACAGCCGTAAAATAGCAAAAAAGTAAGGTGGTAGTTATGGTTGGCGGCCTAAGTTACTGGCAATTTTTAATGAAACTGACGACAAGCAAGCTTTTAATTATTCGATAAAATGTCATTAATGAATTATTCAGTGAAAACTTGATTTACGTTATACAGAAGAAATTAGCTATGATTACTGATTTAACAAGATGTGTTTGTGAAACACTGATGCCCCAGTATGGCAGCTTATAGCGAAGATTAAAGTTTCTCAAATGCAAGTCAAACTCCAGACCAAGAAATCAAAAAGAAAGGTCTTGTCTCGTGAAATGTACCTGTAAAATATGAAAGCCCTATTACAAACCGCTAAAAAGTTATGGCAAAGGTTAAAGTTTTTTCAAAGTAAGTAAAATGGCAAGGTTAAGGTCAAATGGTGCCCAAGGGAAGGTCTTGTCACGTGATTCATATGATCGTTAAATGTGAAAGCCCTAGAACCAAACTTTCAAATGTTATGGCCAAAGTTTAAATTTTTGGAAAGTAGGTAAAACTCCAAGGCCGGTCCTTCGGATGAGACCGTATAAACCGAGGTCCCATGTCGCAGAAGGTGCTGGCACGAAAAAGATCCCTCACTGCTCAATGGCCCTAAGTGCCGAGCATAGGTCAAAATTTGCAGCTCTCCACCGGCAAGTGGTGGCGTCTCCATATGAGTGAAAAATTCTCGAGAGGGACGTTAAACAACAACAAACAAACACTTCAAGGTCAATGCCAAAATTGTTGGTATCCAAAGGAAGGTCTTATCATAAGGAAGAAATATGTGAAGCTCTAAGCCAACTGTTCAAAAGTTATGGCCAAGGTTAAAGTTTTTCAAAAGTAGGTCAAACTCCAAAGTCAAGGTCAAAGGGTCAAAGTTGTTGTTATCCAAAGGAAGGTCTTCTCAGAAGAAATGCATATGTGAAGTATGAAAACTACTATCTGTTCAAAAGTTATGGCCCAGGTTAAAATTTTTCAAAATTGAAGCAGGTCAAACTCCAAGGTCGAGGTCAAAAGGTCAAAGTTGTTGGTATCAAAAGAAAGGTATTGTCATAAGGAGTACACATGCGAAGTATGAAAGACCTAGCACAAATTGTTAAAAAGTTATGGCCAAGGTTAAAGTTTTTTCAACAGTAGGTCAAACTCCAAGGTCAAGGTCAAAGATGTTGGTACCCAAAGGAATGTCTTGTCACAAGAAATACACAAGTGAAGTTTGAAAGCCTAAGCTTCAACTGTTCAAAAGTTACGGCCAAGATTAAAGTCTCATAAAATTTTGCAAAAGTGGGTCAAACTCCAAGGTCAAGTATGATGGTATCCAAAGAAAGGTCTTGTCACAAGGAATACACATGTGAAATATGAAAGCCATAGCTCCAACCAATCAAAAGTTGTGGGCAAGGTTAAAGTTTTTGCGGACAAACAGACAGACAGACAGCTAGACAGACAGGGCAAAAACTATATGCCCCCGAATCTTCGATTACGGGGGCATAAAAAGAACAATGTGCAAATCGTTTTTGCCAGTATCCATCTTAGTTTTATGCGTCTATTTCTAGACCAGCTGATGCTATCAAAAGAAAAACGAGGTTTTAATAACACTACATTTATACAAGATGGCCAAGGGCATTAAAGATCACTTGAGTATAATACAACACTGTAAAGAATCTATAGAAGTATAAAGCAAAATTAACTGAAAGATGAAGCTTTGTTGAATAGGAATTTTCAAATATAGGTATTTGGAGATTACAGAGATTACCTCTATGAATGTCTTTAAGGAAGGCAAAGCCCAATACTAAACTAATAATCTAGTAGTGTGCCTCCCCAGATGTTACATTTATGCAAGTTTGGTCACATGTAGCTTCCAGTTACTTGGGAATGGACTTACCTAAAAACTTAAAATAGTCACTTATCCAGAAAATGTAAGTCAAATCCAGCTAAACAAATAATCTAGTAGTGTGCTTCCTTAGATGTAACATTTATGCAAATTTGGTCTAAGGGCTTGCAGTTACTTGGGAATGGTCTTACCTAAAAACTTTAAACTAGTCACTCATCCAGAAAATGTAAGTCAAATCCAGCTAAACTAATAATCTAGTAGTGTGCTTCCTTAGATGTAACATTTATGCAAATTTGGTCTCAGGGCTTGCAGTTACTTGGGGATGGTCTTAAACACTTTAAAGTAGTCACTTATTCCGAAAATGTAAGTCAAATCCAGCATATGACGCATGTACAGTAGTGTGCATCCTTGGATGTATCATCCATGCAAGTTTGCTCGATATAGGACCTAAACTTACTTAAAAATGAGATCTGCTCCAAAAACTTTTGGTCACACATCCAGAAAATGTAGGTCAGATCCAGCATCCCAAACAAATCAAGTAGTCTATTCAATTTGTCTTCTTCCCCTCTGATATTTCTTGAATTCTGGTTGATTAAAATAATTAAATGCAAACCTTTTAAAACGTACTTTTTATAAATCGCGAATCTTGGTAAATAACATCATTCTAAATGTTTATTTTACAAGTTCTCTTTTTTAAAAGTTCTCTCTTTTAAAAAATTAATCTTTTCTTATAACTTTTGGTTAAAAAGAGATGGAAGAGATAGGGTTTTCATATTTCACATGTACGTAACCTGTGACATCACCTTTCCGAATATGCTATGATTTTTAACCGCGTTTCCTTGACCTTGAAGTTTGACCTACTTTTCAAAAATTTTAACATTACTTTAAATTGGCTATAAAATTTAAATGAGAAAAGGTACGGCTTATTAAACAAGTGCATTACCTATGACAAGACCTTTTCAAATGTACTATGATTTTTGACCTTGACAAATTTAATCTTTGCTTATAACTTTTGATCAAGAAGAGATAGGGCTTTCATATTTGAAAAGTACATTACCTGTGGCTATACTATGATTTTTGACCTCTTGACCTTGAAGTTTGCCCAAGACAGTTACTATATGCCGTAAATAAATGCATCCATCCACTAAGTCACCGAAAGCGGGGGACCACAACTCTTGAATTTGCTTGTTTGCATTAAATTATAAAATTTTACCAGCGCACTCTAGCGTACTCTGTCGTTCTCTAGAAGGACCGCTCCGCATTTGCCCGTTGCAGGTTCCCAATTACTTTTGGTCCGATATAGACTTTGTGTTTCTCTAGGTCGTGCAATTGTGGCTGGGAGAGTCGTATGAATCATCGTCGTTTCTTTCATTATAATTTGTTTCATTTCAGTTTAGTAATAATACAGCGTTGTTTAACACATCGCAGTTATTAATTAGCTATTTATGTAAATTACACATCCCAACAGTAGACCAGACTGACAGGACGTGTCTCGCGGTGGTCCGGATTCATTTCATAGCTATCTGTTTTCAGCATCAGCATCAAAATTCAAAATGTAAAATTGTAAATAAATAGGGTATAGTAGTGCTAGATGTTTTTGTTTTCATTTTATTTTTTCGTGACTTTTTAACCTTTTCTATGTCATGGAGCTCGCTGGTCTGAAATAAATTAGGGGGAAAGTACGCTGATTTATCTATTAATCTGTACCTGTTGCTTGAAAACGGATTCCTACTGGTTAACTGACGTTTACTGATTGATAAAAGAATCATATTTTTAATTATTCCTTAGACCATAGCCAATAAAATATCATAATTCTATATACGGCAAGCCTCTCCTGAAGGACCTCTAGGCCAAATATCTACACTAAAGAGTTCAATCGGTAGAGCGCTCGCTCCGTGATCGGAAGGTAGTGTGTTCGAATCACGGCCGCGACTGACCTAAGTCGAAAAAAAATAGGTAGCAACTGCTCCTTTGCCAGGCGCTCGGCACTTTGAAGTGAAAGTTGCAGGTCCTTCGGATGAGACCTTAAAAACCGAGGCCCCGTGTCACAATAGGCGGTGGCACGATAAAGAAGAACTCTCACTGCTCAATGGCCCTGAGTGCCGAGTAAAGGTTTAAAGAAGCCCTTCACCGGTATATGGTGACGTCTCTATATGAGTGAAAAATTCTCGAACGGGACGTAAAATAACATACAATCAATCAATCATTTCTCCGTAAATTTAAGCTGCAGGGCTTTCAGAAAGATTGGAAACAAGTGGTACTTTTGCAAAAATAGGAGGTACCTTGTGGGAACAATTTTGATTAAATACGTCATTGAATTTTTCTCAATGATACAGTCATGAGTGCAGTCGGGGAGGTATAGGGTACCGACAGATTTTAAAAGGCATGAAGTTGCCATCTTAAAATATTACTAACCGTGTGTTCTTAGCGTATTCTTTTACTACTCCCCCCCCCCCCCCCGGACAAAACATTCCCAAAAAACCGTTGGCGAAGACAATTCGGTCGAACGCGCTTCGTGCATGATTTGGACATGCAGTTTCGTTGTGGGGGTAGTAAACACACGGTTAGTAATATTTTAAAATACTTTTTTGTGCGCAACAATAAGAAATACTTTTTTCAATGGATGGCATTGTAGCTATCTGGTCGTTAATCACAATTACTCAGACCTACGAGCTACAGATCTGCAGCTATCTAACCCCCCGAAAAAAAGCTGTATTAATTGCTTAGAGAGTTGTTGAGGGATTGGGAAACCCGCTTTTTTCACAGTCATATATATTAGGAATAGTACAAGATCATTTTTATTGTAAATTTACTTCAGACCACCTCTTCTCCAACCATCTGAATCCGCCTATGGCCATAGACGGAGCGTCCTCCAAACAGCCCACGGCAAGAAACCAATAATGACCTAATCATCAAATACAAAGTACAGTTCCTATAAAATTAATGTAAAATGAACCGCCACTTTGCTAGACTTTGCGTGACTTTATTGATGATTAAAATGTTTTTTTTTAAATGAAGAAATAGAATTAACATGCTCAAGTCTGATATACATTTGAATTTTTTAAAATATAAATTTGACGGAATAACTAAAATGTCAGTGCAAGTGTGCCATAAAAGATAAAGGAAAATTGTTCGTGATGTCAGATAGATAAGATTATTTAAAATCATTTCTTTTCACGACCATTCCTGACTGAAGAAAGATGGCACATCAAGCGATCCTCTCAATTTATTTCCTAGCAACAGCTTTTCTAGTCGTTGGGAGTCGAGATTTCCCCATCCTTGCCACTACTGTCCCAGGCTGCCTATACCACGGGAAGTGGTACCAAGCTGGTTCTTTCCAACACTCCCCATGTGAACCTTGCCAGTGCACGTCCTCTGGCCAAGCGTACTGTGCCATTGTAGACTGCTTCTTTGATGGTTGTGTGGACGCTGTTCATGATCCAAACAAATGCTGCCCACAATGTCCAAATGGTAAGATTATTTTTATTGAGTTGAAAAACAAAAATAATGAAAAACGGTTTTGACCCTCCCCCCCCCCCAAAAAAAAAAACATCGAGTGCGAATAAAGGGATAATTTAGTTCTTAGCATAAATAGTGTTTTTACTTCTGTCTAATATCACAGGGTTTCAAATCTGAGGACTAAATACTTGGAATGAGAATATTTAATCAGAAAAAAACTTTAAAATTATTTCAGAGTTTCGTTAAAATATTATTATTCAAAATGATTATATATTTTTCTCTTGTTTTTGGATAGTACTTATTTTGAAAAGTAGCGGCTTTATTTTTTCTCTCTCACAAACAGTATTGAAAAAAGAAAGAGGCAATATTAAAGGAATCTTATCTAAATGTGTATAATTGCAAAGAGTTCATTTCTTTGTTTAGGTCGAAACTGCAAGGCTCCCGACGGAACAATTATAAAGCATGGAGATACCTACAATACTCCTACCATGTCGTGTCAGTGCTCGTCATTCGGAACACTGGCACAGTGTGCCTCCCTGGCTCAACCACATGAAATAGTTGCTAGCTAAACTGTTAAAAATGAAATTAATAAACCGATTTTTGTTTTATTTCATTTAAATGAAAGTATGGTGTCCCGATAGGCCCATTTGAAAAGAGTAACAAAACTATTCAGTTATAACAATATGTTGGATAATTCATGAGAGTTGTCACGGCTTAGATCATCTATACTTATAAATTAATAAATTGCAAATAAACTCCGAAACGCCTGCACCAGAGTTCATACCTACTCCTCTAATATTACATTAGGCATGAGATGATGTCCGTAAATTATATTTAGAATTCACTTGCAAAGTAATTTTTCGTAAATTTAATTAAAATTCTACTTTCACTTTCGATAAACAGTCGTGAAATAGCAAAAAAGATTTCCGGTCGGCGGATCTAAGTTAGTGACATATTACGTTGCTCTTTGCCACTTGTCACTAATAACAACAAGTCACCCTGGCTCTCTGTGATTCTTTGTTCACTTTAATAAAGTATAAGACAACTTTATCCAGTCTCTTGTTTACCTTGACTACCTGATAATAATAGACTGTCCACTGTCAAACAGATCACTTCAGTGTAAACATACTGTGTTCAATTACGACTTTTGCTAAATATATAAATAATCTTCATGTCGATCTTTTATTATAAACTATTGCTTTCCAGGCAAGAATCTGACTTTAGCATGCTTTGCGCATTTAAACCAAACATTCATTTTTATTTTGTTTCTATATATATATATAACATTCTTTCTTGTATTCTCATTCAATCAAATGACCTGTTAATTAAATGATATGCAAGGATTTCTTCAACACAATCTAGCAAGGGGAGGAACTCTCATTTGCTTCACTTATTACAATTGTGTACTCTGTTTGCCTCCTAGTTACCCAGGAGCAAAGAAAAGGCAGATTTACTTATAATAATACTAGATGAAATCCCGCACAAGCGCGGGGAATTGAATTTATACCACTACCGACAGAAAATATATTGTAGTTTCTACTGACAGCCTACAGGGTTATAGCAGGAAGAAATACTTTGTTCAAAATCTCGTGCGCCTCCACCACCACCCCCCTCCCACCCCACCCCCTTTTGCAAAAACTTGACACACAATTTCATTACTTGATGTTTATTGTGAAACCTGTTATACTATGTTATGGATATATTGTATGCTCTTATTTCATTTCCGTCAAGGATAAATTAAAAGCAGCGAATATGCACATTTTACTGATAAATTGATTTTTTGGGGGGAGGGGGCGGTAAAAATTCACAGGTACTCGTGTCTTGGTTTATAAATATATATGTACCTTATTGATATGTAAAAAATGTACTTTACCTTTTTTACATATCAATAAGGTTCATACATATATATAAACCAAGACGCAAGTATCTGTGTAACAATTAGCTTTTAACGCCCTATGAATAGGCCGAGTATTCAAAAAAAAAAAAAAAAAAAAAAAAAAAAAAAAAAAAAAACTGAAATGTATTGATTAAAACACAAAATTTTACAAATTTAATTGTATTTGAACAATATCTTATTCATTAATTTTCTCTTTTCATGTAAGCAGTGAGGAATATATACACATTTTACCGATAAATTTATTAGGAAAACCTACTACATATATGTAATAGTCTTTCGATATCTAAATATATTCACAACTTATAGTGTTATCAATGATTTACATTATTTCAATGACCATTCACACATTAGCTTTTCTTATGTTCCTACGGCTATAATTGTCTCGTTTTTCTTTTTAACATCGGGCTCGATGCTATATGATGTTCTAGAAGCTTCCGTCAATATCAAGATCGGTGAATGACAAAAATAATTTGCACATTTTCCTTTTTAATCGGTTATTACAACTTATTTCTTTTATGTCATTTAAATCAAGTTTGGATTGAATAATTCAATGATGACGTTTTATGAAATAAATACGCGATTGATTGTTGTCAGTTTCATAAAAGAATGCCTGAAACTTAGATCCGCCAACCGGAAACGCCACCATACTTACGTTTTTGCTATTTCATGGCTGTTTATAGAAAATAAAAGTAGACTTTTAATTTAATGTACGATACTTACAATGCGAGTGAAATCTAAATATAGTTTACGGACATCATATTGTATCAAGTGTATTCTTAGAGGAGTAAGTGAACACTCTGGTGCATCCGTTTCGGAGTTTATTTACAAAATTTATTAATTTATAAGTATAGATTTAATACATTTACATTGATAAAATTGCATTTAGTTTGTTTGCTAAGCACTCAGGGGCAGAGGAGAAGATATTCAAAGTAATGCATTTTGCTAATTAATCAATAGAGCCCCACCAAAGCACCAGAATTAATGCATTTTCACTATATAATCATTAGAACCCCACCCTAACACCAGAACCCCTGACCCTGGGGCCATGAAATTGACCTTTTAATTACATCTTTTAAAGTGATTAATTATCAAAGGTGAATATTAGCAAAAGAAAATAACTTCTTTCAGTAGAACAAAATTAATAAATTGACCAAGTGGTGCAGAATTTCAAAAATCTGATAAAGATACCCTTGGTTATTACAACTTCATATACTTTGTTTGCCTCCCAGATGCTCAGGAGCAGAGACGGTTTTCAAAGAAATTATGCATGTTGATTATAGATTCAACATAGCCCGCCCTAACAACAGAGCCTCTAGGGGTTTTGTGTTTCTTTTGCATTATTTCTTTCAAAATCTTCCCCTCTGTCCATGAATAGGTATTTAGCAAACATACTAAGTGCATGGTTATGATGAGCAAGGGTGCCTCTTCCATAAGTGTTAATTTCTCGGCCGCTGTGTCAAGGGCCAAGAATATTTAAATTTTGACCTAACATCAAAATACTTGATCCATGGGCTATGAATTCCACATAATTTTGGAAGAGGGATCCTTGCACATCATAATCATGCAGTCAGTTTTGTCTGCTAAATACCTAAGGGAAGAAGAAAAAGATATATGCATTTAAATATCTGATATATAGAGTCCTGAACTAAAACTAGAACCTCTGTCCCAAGGGTAATGAAATTCACAATTATGGAAGAGGCACGCCTGTTCATCGTAACTATGCACTCATTTCGTTTGCTTAATACCCAGTAGCACAGAAGAAGATTTTCAAAGAAATAATGCACTTTCACAATATAATCAATAACCCCTATCCCTTCACGGAACCCCTGATCCTGGGGCCACAGATTTCACAATTTTGGAAGAGGCACCCTTGATCATCATAACTGTTCACTAAGTTATCTGCAAAAAAACCAAAAGCAGAGAAGATTTTCACAGAATTAATGCATTTTCATTTCATTTCACACCAGAACCCCTGACCTTGGGGCCGTGAAATTCACAATTTTAAAAGAGGCACTCTTGTTCATCATAACTATAAACTTTGTTTTCTTAATACCCAGTAGCTCATCATAAACATGCATGTAGAATATCTACCAAACACCCAAAAGCAAAGAAGATTTTTATGAAAATAATGCATTTTTCCTATCTAATCAAAAGAGCCCCCACCCTCCAATCCTCCTTACACCTGGTTCACAATTTTAGCTCCTCTTCACTCGTTTGTATGTTGTTTAACGTCCCTCTCGAGAATTTTTCCCTCATATGGATCTTCACTCGTAGATGTTGTTCTACGCCAAACTTGGTTTAAACTGGTTCAGCGAGAAATATTCAAATGTTTATGGACGACGAAAACTGAGAGTAATAGATCACCTGAGTGACTCAGGTGACCTAAAAAAAAAAAAGACAAAAATAAGTACAAGTAGCATAATAAGTGTTTATATTTTTTTCTACAGTGAAATAGCTGGTTTCCAGTCTTTAAATCCTAGTTTATGTACATCATTTAAGAATTCAGCAGTTTCATCAACAGACATCGCCCTCATTGGTTGGCGCGGAGGTCCAAGATCCAAACCGACAAGTGTCATGAATGGCTTCACAGCTGCGACATTACCCCCAAGCTTATGACCTTGAAAAGAAAAAGAATTATAAATGTCTTATAAGATGATCCTCATTTCTACGGCACCGCTGGAGGGCCAGATTAAAAAAAAATTGTTCGGACGAATTAGATATTCGTTCGGACGAATAAGATATTTGTTCGGAGGAATAGGAAATTCGTTCGGACAAATTAAAATTCATTCGGACGAATTAGAAATTCTCTCGGAAGAATTGTGAATTCGTTCAGACAAGCTGTATATTTGTTCGGACGAATTAGTTAATTGTTCACACGAATTTAACATTTGTTTTGACGAATTTGATATTTATTCGGACGAATAAGAAATTTGTTCATAAAAATTCTTTTGGATGATTAAGAAATTCATTTGGACAAAGATATTTGTTCGGACCAATTAGATATTTGTTCAGACCAATTAGATATTTGTTCAAATGAATTAGATATTTATAAGTTATTAGATAACTTTTATACGGTTTCACAGTACCAATTCATGGGTTCCATAAGCCAATGATTCACTAGTCCGGAGAACTATTCCGAAATGTACCGGGCATGCGTGAAAGGTGGCCAAAATAGTTGGGAGAAATTATGGGCTATATTGTCATATATCAACAGGAGAACGAGAAAAAGAGGTAATTAACTGCATTAATAACATTAGTACACTTCCGTTTTGTAGAGTTGTAATTTGAGTTAAACAGAATAACAGTAAAACAGTTGTACGTGTATTCAGAAGGGCGGAGTAAACTGGCCCTACAAGTCAGGAGTATCTATTTCTAGTAGCATTTTTAGTAGTTTAAACAACATTATCATACTTTCATGTTAAATACTAAAATCTGATTGGTTTAGACGCAGTTAACAATCCGTAATGTTACCCTCAGCGTTAGCAAAACACATGTCAATGGGTAACACAACGATAATGTCACATGGATGTAAATCATGCGCGTATGGTTCACCGTAGAATTCTCAAAACGTCCGTTGTGCGTTTGAAAGAAGCCGAATAAACTTGACGTCAATAAAAGCTTGCATCCAATGTAGCTTACTTGAAAACAAAAAAACGACAGACGAAACATGCTTGCGAGTGCAGAAATAACGAAACTTTAGATGATAAAGGACTCTTTGAGTATCAAACAAACAATATAGGTCGGTAAATCTTTCTTCTTCTTTTTTTCCGAAGCTTTTTTTTTGAGAAAAATAGAAGCGGGGGGTTTGAAAGCTTTCTAAACGTGAACGTAAAGACGATCGACGAATTTTGTTGCTTACATCCTAAATTATATTAAAATAAATGGTGCCTGTTTTGGAGGGTAACAGTTGAAATTGACACCCCAAGGAAAACCAATGTCAACCCACGCGTCAACTGTTACCCTCCAAAACAGGCACCATTTGTATAATGTCCACTGAAACAGAAAATGTGAGCTTAATGGGAGAGGCTAGGGCTATATTATATGAGTGAAGAATCGAATGAAAAGGAAATCACTTTAGAGAAACTATATGAGCTTGTGAAAAATATGGGGAATTCAATAAATGAACGGTTTAATAGCATGGGCACAGTTATTGATACCAGGAAAAGAAAATTGAATACATACTTAAGAAAGTTGACGAAATGTGTGAAGAAGTAAGCCTTTCCAACAGAGTTAATTCTATGGAGCAAGAGATAAGTTCAATTAATCGAACACACAGAAAATTCCATGAAAATCTACAGGGGATGAGCAATGTATTCGATGGGATAAAAGAGCAAGTAGGGAAGTCCGAAAATAAAATGCAAGATATGAAAAATAATGTTCGATGATATGGAAGCCAAAATTGTGCAATACACATCTAAGAGAGAGATTGAATTTGGGGAGTTATCTGGGGGAAAAATTGAAGAAATGTCAGATCAAATCATCGATCCAAAGAACACAGAAGAGATACTGGGAGATTTCTAAGCACAAGACCTTGAAATCGAATTTAACATCGAATTCACAGTCAAGTATTCACAGATTTGGAAAGAAAAACAATACACCAAATATATAATCGACCAATCGTTGCAAAGTTTATCTACCAACGTGAGCTTGAGTACGTACTCCAATGCGCCACAAAGTTGAAGGGCAAACCCTTCCAAATAATTTTATTTTATAAACCGCCAATTTCCGGAAGAAATTGAACAAGCCAGGGAAAGCCTTTACCCCACGATGAAGGAGAAACAACTCAGAGAAAACGTGAAATTGGTTAAGGACATCCTATATGTTAACGGAATACCACCCAGAGAATGCAGAACCAATTGAACCGCCGAGGCACTTCCATCGTACCCCTAATAGACATCGAAGCTCGTCCAACAAACGTCGGAGAAAATTTAATTACCCAGAACTTCATGAGCTAATAAGAAATACGATATCTTTATTTTCAGGAAACAAAAACAGACGACTTAAATATAATTGAAATCGAAGGTTTTGAAATAGAAATGAAAAACAAAATTAGATATGGTAGAGTAAACTATGGAAGTATATTACTAGCATATAATTAGCTTTCTGATGACAAATATGTTATGTTAGCAGGTGACTTCAACAATGCTCGAACCGGAACAGATATCGAAATCTTTGGCGTTGATAATGAAAAAAAAAGGTCAATTTTGTGAAATCTTTGAAATCATGGAAAATGAATTTTTAGTCCCCTACCGGTGAAACCGGAGGGGACTATAGGTTTCCTCTGAGTCTGTCCGTCCGTCTGTCTAGCTGTCTGTCTGTCCGTCTGTCCCTCTGTCTGTCTGTCCCACTTGGTTTTCCGCACTTTTTTCCTAAACGCTTAAAGATATTGAGCTGATTTTTGGTATGTGAGTGTATCTTGATGAGTTACAGATCAAGTTTGCATTTCGTTCCGCTTCATTGATTTTTGACGGAATTACGGCCTTTTCAATTTTTAAGGGTTTTCCGCAATTTTCTTCTGAATGCTTTCCGATATTGAGCTGATTTTTGGTATGTGACTTAACCTTGATTAGTTATAGATCAAGTTTGCATTTCGTCCCGCTTCATTGATTTTTGACGGAATTATGGCATTTTCAATTCTTAACGGGAACCAGATTACACTTGCCGGTAGGGGACTAGTATTGCTAATGCAATACTCTCAGAATGCTTGTTTCTATAAACAATAGGTGAGAAAGAAACAGTAAAGACAAAGTTCAGAATTCATATGGTAAATTTTATTAGAAATGTGTAAATTAAATAAGTTGTTAATTGTAAACGGACGTATTGGCGATAATTCATTAGGAGAGGTAACGTGTAAAGGTTCAAGCACTGTAGACTACTTTCTTTGTGGCTATTTTCTTAATAAATACATGTATGTCTTGAATATGCAAGTACTTGAACAAAGCAAATTATTTTCAGATTTTTCATGTGCCTATTGTCTTGTATTTAGAGTTGCAATGTAATATCGATTTGAATTGTTCAAATACAATGGCTGAATGTGTAAAAAAAAAAAATCAAACCATGGGATCCTTCTAAGGTTATATATGTAAAGTCTATTGATACTGGTCAATTAAATCAAGTTTTAACATTGTTAGACGTAAACAGAACAAGATGAAATTGTGAAAAAATTAAATAAGATATACATAGATGCAGCAAAAATTCCTAAATGCCTGCAGATATTGAGTTGATTTTTGGTATGTGAGTGTATTTTGATGAGTTACAGATCAAGTTTGCATTTCGTTTCGCTTCATTGATTTTTGACGGAATTGAGACCTTTTCAATTTTTAAGGGTTTTCCGCAATTTTTCTCTAAACGCTTGCAGATTTTGAGCTGATTTTTGGTATGTGACTTTACCTTGATTAGTTATAGATTAAGTTTACATTTCGTTCCGCTTCAAGGATTTTTGACGGAATTATGGCATTTTCAATTTTTAACGGGAATCCGATTACACTTGCCGGTAGGGGACTATAGTATTGCTAATGCGTTACTCTCAGAATGCTTGTTTTAAATATGTACAGCCAGATAAAACCCAGAATTGTTTATAATTTAAGAACAATCAGAATTTTTTCAATGTGCAAATGGTGTTAGACAGGGTAAAACCAGAAGTCTCTGATGAGACTGTAGCTCTACTGGTTGTATTTATAAAGGAAGATAAAAGTAGCACTTGGACTTGAAACTTTGCAACAGCAATAAATAGAATAATGATCCTTGGTTTAGTCTCTTTTTGGCAAGATTTATTATTATATCAGACTAAAACTGTAGGAGGAGTAGCCTTTAAAAACAATTTTACTGAAATTTTGATTTAAGTAACCATGGCAACATCATTCAACAAAATCAAAAAACAATAACACCAATTATGTATCTCTGTAGTCTACTTGTATGTCACATTATTCTGAAATCAGACAAAAAGTGTAGGAGGAGTAGCGTTTTGAAAGTATTTCAAGAAAATTTCTATTTTTAGTAACCATGGCAACACAATTCATCAAAATCCGAAAATGGTACAGAGAATTATGTATCTTAGTGTAGTTTACTTGTATGCTAAGTAACACTAAAATCAGACCAAAACTGTAGGGGTAGCATTTTGAAGGTATTTCAAGGAAAATTTCTATTTTTAGTAACCATGGCAACACCGTTCATCGAAATCAAAAACCGATATACAGAATTATGTATCTTAGTGTAGTCTACTTGTGTGCCAAGTTATATTGAAATCAGACCAAAACTGTAGGAGGAGTAGCATTTTGAATGATTTTCTCAGAAATTTCTATTTTTAGTAACCATGGCAACACCGTTCATCGAAATCAAAAACCGATATATAGAATTATGCATCTTTGTATAGTCTACTTGTGTGCCATTAGTTATATTGAAATCAGATCAAAACTGTAGGAGGAGTAGCATTTTGAATGTTTTTCACAGAAATTTCTATTTTTAGTAACCATGGCAACAATGTTCATCGAAATCAAAAACCGATACACAGAATAGTGTATCTTAGTGTAGTCTACTTGTTTGCCAAGTTATATTGAAATCAGACCAAAACTGTAAGAGGAGTAGCATTTTGAAAATATTTCACAGAAATTTCTATTT